TGAATCCTACTAAATTTGTGTCTTATAGTAATAAATAAATAAATTGAATATTATGCTTCAGAGTTTTACAACTTAAAAAATGAATCAACCCATCGCTAATATCAATTATACTTTAAAATATTATTGGGTTAATTTAATTTAATATTTTTATTCAGTATTTCATATTTATATTGGAGTTGCCCATTTGGATATAGAGCTCTCTATTAAGAATTTTTTTCATATCCAAAACTCAAAATTATGATATTTAATTAAGGAAGGAGAAACACCATTCAATGCACTATATTCTTTGATGGTTATTTTTTGATATTTTTTAATACTAAATTTTTTACCAGGATCAATATTAATTAATGTTGATCAGAATGCTATAGAAATACCTTTTAATATTTGTCAAATAACGATTAATAATTGATTATATTGGGCCCGTATCACGGGCCTTAAGAATCTAGTAAACATAATAAAAATGAATAGGGAAAGTGACTTGGGCCCAAATCTGGTTTTCCTGTCCGTCTGGGCCAGTATTTGGGCCCATTTTCGTTTTGAGCCTTTGACCCATTTTGAATCACTTGTACCTATCCTAAGAACTAACAGGTATAACGAATAAGTGGGCTTAGGCCCAAAAATTAATAAAATACAACTCTTTTTATATAAAAAGTGGGCCCTTGGCTTAATCTTTTCAATTCTCCCCGATATCGAATTCCTTCAATCCTGTTCATCGATTTTAATGGTCGGCTGACTCGGAAAGGAGGAATTTGAGCCTTTATGGCTCTCCCAAAATGCAAGAAAGACTGTAGGAGTTTGTAGCGAACTCGGATAGATTTCACATGCAACCAAAAAATAATAGTGAAGAATTAGAACCTCGAAAATAAAAAAAATAAAAATAATAATAATAATAAAAAAAAATAATAACATATCTAAGTATCACGTCGACTCTTAGAATATTATAGCAAAATGAGCTTGATCAAACTAAATACTGAAGATCTAAATGAAGGGGGACCAATTCATGAGGAAAAAAAAAAAACTAGTGGCCTCAAATCATGTTAACAAACAAATAATGAACATCCAAGCTACTGTTCCGTATAAGTACATTAAAAATGACTCCTAATAGTATAAATGAATTAACTAATTAACCTACTATGCCATGAGCATTACGGATGATTAGCATTATAATAAAAAAAATACAGAAAAAAAAATAAAATCCTTCAACTTCCAAATTCCAAGAAATCAAATTAATAATGGAATGACATTTAAAACGAAAACAAGATGAAGATACAGGAAGATGGAAACATGCTGAAAATTGTAACACATACGATATAATATATCAAAACTGGCGAGCTTCAAATTACGAGGGACAAACCAACGAAAATGCAAACCCAGAAGTAACATGCTCAACCAACGTCCAAACTAGGATAAAATTAAACATAGATTTTCCACTATTGTTAACTTATCACTACCAGTGGCAACAAAACAAGTGATTCAAATATGAAACAAGGAAAAACAATTCGAGTGATCTAAATGGAGAGGTGAAAGAATACTTGACTCTATCATAAGCTAAAACAAATACGGACATCACCATGAGACAACATAATCTTTCAACGCAAAGATTAATACACAATGAGTACTCGAAACTTAAATAAAACAAAATCACTAACTTATATTAAACTCAAAACTAACCCAAAATCTCCAATCCATGATATTGAAAGCGTAAATACTAATAAATCTATTCAAACAATAAAAAATCAGCATGATTAACATACAAGAGAAAACTAATAACTACAGTAACTAACTAGAGCTAAAATAAGAATAAAAATGATCAATCATGAATCTTTGCGACCCACCATATGTGAACAATTTCATTATGCAAAACACCTCGTCAACTAGCCACAATACAACATAAATAAAAGCATTGGCACGCAAGACTTCAAAAATACGAAAGTCCGGGCATATATAAAGCCTAAATAAAACAGGACAGTGTGAGGAAATAAAGAGAATTGGGTTTACCTTTTTCGGAGCAGCGTTCCGGGAACCAAACGAGCTGGGAAGTAATGAGCTTTCACCACCAAAGCACGACTCGAAGAACCGCGAATGAATCAAAACAAAACAACGAGGACAAAGACTGATCGAAATCTCACTTTTGGTCTCTCTGTAACTTCAAAAACTTTATGGTTCAAGTGTATTTCTTTCTCTCCAATACTTGCTAAGTCTCAATATTTTCTCCTTCAATTCCCTCTCCTTTCTTCTTACAGTGAACTAAAAGAGGTTTATATATATGGAAAAAAAATTGGGATCCAATTCTTGGGGGGAAATCGGAAAGGGTAAGGGTAGAACAGGAATTCCAATCGAATCCCCAAATTCAAATCCCTCTTCCCAAGGATGGGAAAAACTGTTCTTTGTACAAGATTTCAAACGAAATCCCCCTAAAATCCGGATGAAAAGATCAAGGGGCGGCTATTGCAGAGGAAGCTGTGGGAGTTACTGTTTGTTGACGCGTGAGGGAGAAGAAGACGCAAAAGTTGTTGCGTGTGCAGCTGCTGTGAGCAGTGTTGCTACTGTACACAACTGATGCTGCTTTTGACGTTTCTGGTCTTGCTGAAGAAGAAGGAGAACACAGGTGGGGTTGTTCGGCTACTGTATGTATTGTATGTATTATTATATTGTTGGGAATGGGCTAGTAGTTTGGTTGGGCTGCTGTAGTTGTATGGAATTGTTGTATGTAGGCATTGTATGTTAGGAATTGTTTGACTAAAATGGGCCTGAAATGAGAAAGGCATGGGATGCTGGAAATTAAAGAAATGGGGCCCAAAACTAAAGTCGTTGGTGGGTTTAAAGTAAGGTATAACTAAGTGAATTAACAACTTAGCCAAATCGAATTTAATTTGCAAATTCGGCTAAAACTCAAATAGGACGAATTAGTATAATTAATTAATGAGCTTCTTAATTTTAACAAAAATAAAATAAAATAATTAACTCAATTATAACCTAACTAATTTAAATAACTCGAAATTATAACTATAATTTACGCTAAACTAATTTAATAAAATACTTACTAAAAGTTTAAAATCTTTTTGAGATGATTTTCAAAATGTTTATAAAATATACTAATTATATATAAAACATATATATTACATAAAAAAATTATAAAAATGATAAAATTGATCAAAAAATAACTTGAAAAAACATTTTGAGCTTTACAAAGTCAATTGTCTCAAATCGTTTGGAATTTAAGAAACTTGATGATTAATATATATTGTGGAGGTCCAAAATTGGGTGTCAACCTATTCAAAAAAAATATACCAAACAAGCTGATAATGTTAATATACAAAATTAATACATACACTATTTTTTCTGATATACTTTACCAAACTACTCCTAAATCAAGTTTCGAGGATGACTTTATAGCAAATAAACCCAACATCTTCATACTAACAAATGATTTAATTGAGTGGAAAACATATTTATTGACAATAGACACACATCAATTTATGCTATACTAGTCTATAGTTGATCATTGTTGATAAAGTGATCGAAAATTTGAAACAATGAAGAGATTAATTTTAAAAAATAATGACTAAGAGTTAGAAATAACAATGATTTATATTTAAAAAGTATTCCATCTAGAAATAGTAATAACCCAAAATAAAACAAAAGACAATAAATTAAAAGATAACAAAAAAAAAGTGGTACACCAAGTAGGAAAGTGACCGAACAAAAGAATATCTTATTAGCCCCTCAATAAAAACACTATCTTACCGTGATTCAATCATTTAATGCATTTCTTATTAATTTTTTAACGTGATTCATTCATCAAACTAATTAATTTGAAAACAATACCTATAATTCAAACTAAATTACATTAGTAAAGTGTTTAACGTTTAAAATAAATGAAATATTTTCAAGATAGTTTTCGTATATGTAAAATATATTAGTTACATACGTAACAATACAAAACATATTTATTATTTAAAATATTATAAAAGTGAATAAAATTCTTAAAAATATCTTGAAACATGTTTTGCATTTTTTTTATAAACTCGATTATTTCAAATCGTTTGAAATAAAAGAGGCTCAAAAATTAATTATTATCGGGGAGGGTCAAAATCGGGTGTCAACAAATACTACATATATAAAAGAAGATCTAAGACATACCACTACCAAGAGCTCCATGGACAAGAAGTGAGAAACCAAGGAATATAGTGATGAGTTCCATATTTTGTAAACACGAAAATTAAATGCTATTTCTTCTTAGTGAAAGTATATAGAATAAGTAATTCAAGAAGAGAATTTGGTGATGAGAGATATGGAATAGAATGAGGTTCTTTATATAGGCAAAATTTAGATGAGTCCAATATTTTTAGTGTGGTTCAAACGCTATTAGAAACAGAGGTTTTTTTCATCGTGAATCAATAAAAAAATCGTATTATAAAATATGATTTTTTTTCATCTAATTTTGCTGAACCAGCTCATTGAAAAAAATGTATAGTGAGAAACAAATACATACTACTCCCTCCGTTTCATTTTATGTGGCGCCCTTTTCTTTTTGGTTCGTCCCAAAAAGAATGTCAACGTACAATAATTAGAAATAATTTAATTTTAAAATACTCATTTTACCCTTAATGAAATGATTTTCAACCACACCAATATTTAAAAATTGTTTTAGACCACAAGTTCCAAAATTATTTTTTTTTCCTTAAATATCGTGTCAAGTCAAATGGTGTCACGTAAAATGAGGCGGAAAAAATATTATTTTTCTTTTTTCTCACTAACATTTTCCGATCGGAAATTTGAGATTTTTTTTAGTAGTGAGAATAATTGTTAATACATTATCAGCAGCGTAGACAAAAATTTGCACAAATGATATCGGTCCCATAATTTGGATTGTGCGTGGGTTTGGGACTAGAAATGTAGTGACCTTAGATCATGTTCCAAATTGATATGTTACTCTCTATTCAAAAAGTGTGTATATTATGTACACATAAAATATTAGTATTTCTTTAAGATAATGTTTTACGTACACTTTTTTCACTTTAATAGGGTAAGGTTATATAATTTTTTGGTTTTATAGATTGTTCTTATCTTTGGAATTTGGCAAACTGGAAGCAATTTGTATTCAAATTTTCTGCCGAATATTGGGGCCATTTCTTTTTCCTAAATTACTCTCACTGTTCTAAAATACTTGTCACAATTTTTGTTTTGAGAATTAAACGATGTAAATTTTGATCGATACTTTAAGTTATAATTGATATGAGAAAAAAAATATAATTTAAAGTGTCCTACATGTAATATTTCACGTAGGATGCATGTGTCTACTTGTTCAATTTTATACAAATTTAAATATTTGTTTGTATGGGTACACCTAAAGTTGGAGGGCATAAATGACAGTTGAAGCCAAGTTAAGAACACATTTATGTATTATGCCGTTTTCGAGCTTTTGTCCAATAATTTAGAATGACTTAATAAGAAGTTGTTGGTCATTCCATAGTCTCTACGCTTTTTTTAAAAATAAATTAGGGGTAGATAATGAAGAGATGATTACATGGTGGAGAATCGAACCCTCACTAACAAACTAAAAGTTCAGATAGTCAACTAATTAGGGGTGCATTTCGATTATTGGTTTATCGGTTGAATCTGAGTGCATTATTACAAGTTTTGTCAACTTAAATGACCAATTAATAGATGTTCTCAGAAAAATCACCGAGGATCCAGAATTGACTATATTTGTGGCAAGATAGGAGCATATGATGTTGCTACAACTTGAAGAGGAGTATTATATAAATGAAAAAAGCCTATATTATGTAAATATGTAAATATTATCTTATCCCTATTCAGCTAACTAGAGTGATAAAATTTTCTCATCTAATTAAGCAAATGAACAACCAAGTTTCACTTGAAGTTGCAATTGTATTAGGAAAAGTTGGAAAAATGAAAGCTTTTACAAATGACTACTTTGTTGGCTCAGAGATTTGAATATTACCTGCTTTATTTGAGATATCGCGGGAACAAAAACAATGTAAAAACTAGGCATTAAGTCACACACAATAATAGTCTGCATCTCGCGATAAAGCACAACAATGCTATTTACAATGGCACACAACATGGAAATAACACGCGAAATATAATTTCATGACATTGAAGAGTTACGTTGTTTGTATAAGACAATAAAATTTCATACATAATCCACTTGGTGTCAAGAAATGTGGTGGCTAGGTATGAGAATATACAATCAATATAATACAGTACGATATAATCAATCACACACATACCGTATATGGCAAATACATATATATAATATAATCACACCATGATGTTCACGTCTCCGTCATGTTGAAAGTTCATACTTTAAGCATAACCTTAGGATAAGGTTCCCTAATATTGAAAACATCATTTAGAACTGTTTTTGAGATTAAAGACGCTTTCAGCAAATTCAGGGCCTGCAAAAGTTAATATATAGTTAATGAGGATTCGATATATATATATAAATATATAGATCTTAATAAATCATGCATGGTTAGTTCCATTGTTTGAATCTTTTGGCATAATCCATAGTTACAACACACAAGTTCTAGTCAATTCAATTATCATTTGCTTGCAACCTTTTATGATGTGCAAAAGCCTCGTTACTCTGTACTAACTGATCGAACTCTGTGCAAAAGCCTTTTTCCTAAATGATGAAGAGATATAAAATAATTTTATAGATCTATCCCGTGTCTAGTATTGCATGGTTCCACTCTGCAAGAACTCTGAAACCCGGGGACTTGAAACACAAAGGATAAAAATGAATTGAATATCCCGTGTCTATTGATGTTTCTGTTCAAAATCCCAATTAATATGCAAGTAAATCAAGTAGAAGGTGTACATACCTCGTCCTTCCCAACAGTTACAGTGCGTTCCTCGACATCACTGGTTGACACCTTCATTTGATTAAGCTGAGTTATAATTGCGGTAGGGGAAAACGGAGTCACTAGAAGATTATCCATTATCATAAACGTTGCGGGTCCTTTCAAGTACCCTTCACCCTTTATAGTTTCTCCTGTTGGAGACTTTGGATCCAAAATATTGATGGCTAAATCGCTTGCTTCTTCCTCATTTACTATCGATGATCCCTCGGATTTATTGGTGTTCCTTGCTAATTCTATACATCCTGAGTCATCATATCTGTATTTCGGGTACTCCTCTTCCACCTCGAGAATATGACTGTCAAAACCAGAGTGTGGAAACAGTTTCGGAGAGAGTAACATATTTTTGCACTCTTCTGATTTGATATAATTTTCCGAACTCAACTCAACAGCACCCTTATACAAATTATCTATACATCCAAGTCTTGAGTTACCACCTAGATGCTTTACTACAGCCCCTAAAGGGAATACAAGGAAACTGAAAAGGAAGTCTACAAGCTTGACCCCGGCTTCTGCATACAAAACCTTCTTCTTACTTTTGCTGACTATAAGCTTCAGGCTCATACTATTTGTGTTTTGAGACATGGTCTTCTTGTCTAACTTTGCAGTTTGGTTATCTTCGTACTTCGATATATCTTTCAACCAACTTCCCTGGCTATTCAGTACCATATTTGTCAAAGCCGTCTTCGAGAGCAATGAGAACTTCAGCAGCTGCAACACCTAAATCAGGTCATATGCATCAGTGATGAGGCTCGGAAATTGTAGAAACTAGAATAGCACACGAAGTAAACGTGAATTTTTGAATTAAAAAGAAGAGACAAAGTATTAATATGGTAATGGATGATTGTGCAAACAGAATCAGTTAGTAGAAGAAGATAAAGAAATCATGGAGCAGATAACTAAGAAATTAGCAAGTTATGCCAAATGAAAACGTCTTAACCTTTCAATCTTGCCTCTGTTCTTCTAATCATTTCTTTTAATGAGAAACTCTTAGCGAAAACCTTAATTCTGAACAAGTTCTTAACAAAAACCTAGAGTAGCAGATGGTAAAGTTTTATGTTTCAATAAGGCATAATACATAGATAGACACCTTAAACTAACAACCAAACACTCCAACTTTGACGATGCACATCTAGACACCTCAACTCATCTCTATTACGTTGGTTGAACACTCCAACTTACAAAATAATCATCTCGACAGCTCCAAAATTTATGTGTGATGTCAGTGTGGGGTTCTAAGGTGTCTAATGTGCACTCCCGAAGTAGGAGTGTTTACTTGCCAGTTGAGGCCAAGTTTGAGTGCCTATATATGTATTATGCCTTACAATAATGTGATCAGAATTGTGCTTGCGAAAACCAAAAGAAGCAAGAGTGGACAATGTGTTAAAGGAAAGAGCTAAGCACAAAGTAAGTTGATAAATCCAATTTTTACCTCCTTTACCTTGCAATTAGTTCTTCCTTGTCATTAACCACACACTCGAATTGAACCTCAATATGTCTTATATACACAAAGTTTGTTCGTGATGAAGTATTTTTCGTAAAATATCCCACAAAGTTCAGCCTACACATTTAGCCATAAAATGTAGAGCGGTAAGTAGCTGTGAAGAATCAAGTAAGACGTTCAGCTATCACCCCTCCTCCGGTGTAACTACTCTAGGGTGGATTTACTGATTGTCTAATCTTCCACCATTCTAATACTCAATTTAATTTTCTCTCAAACTACATGAAGAGACCAGATAATAACTTGAAGGAGAAATAATAAATGAAGAATTGATCTTATGAAACTAATTTTGAACAAGTTAGGGACTCCGAAAATAAGAATGGTATGCATCGTACAACATATAGGTAAAAGCATTACCTCATCAGTACCAACTTCTACAGTCTTTGCCTCAATTTCACTCTTGTCACTGACTCCGAGCTTTCCGAACAAAGAAGTTAAACGAGCAGTTGAGGCTGGCATTACCTGCAAATCATCTGTAATCATAAAGCTTGCTGCCCCACCCTTTAGAAAGACTTCAACCACGCTTTCTCCCCGACAACTTCTCTTCTCTTCCTTCTCATTAATTTTTCTATCAAATTGTGTCAATCTATTACAGCGGAAGCACTGTGTATTCTGCGAGATACTGAATATGTTTTTACACCTAGGGCTATAGCTATTACAGACAAACAACTTCCCTGCATTCTCCGAATAATCAACATTGAGCTTCAACTTTTCACACTGAACTTCTGATGCATTCCGTGGCATGATCAACATGGATTTGCAGTAGCTTGTACGCAAGAACCTTGGCTCAAGCGAATAAACACTGGCATAAACACGGCTAATTGATCCCAATTGAACCATATCTTTTTCAAGAAGTCTTAGAACTGTACCTAACGGGAGTGTCAAGAATGAGAAGAGTGCGTCGATGAATTCATGGTCCGACTCTGCAAAGATTACTCGGTTTCTGTTCTTGTCAATCATAATCTTGAGTTTAATAACCTGAAATTCAAGACTCCAAATGGTCATAACTTTAAGAATGCTTATAGTAATTGATATTTGAAACTTTCTCCACCCCATTCTGTTTAGCATTATTTGACTAGACACGAATTGTGACATATAATAAGTTATATATACATAAATTTTCAATCGTAGATACTAGCTCATGCATTGGGGATTGTCCAAAAACAATTCTGGATATCAAGAGCATGCACAAGATAACATCAGAACCTTATGTTAGGCGGAGGCGGATCCCGTGTTTAAAATTTAACGTTCTTAGCATTGGACTCACTGTATTTTTAAAATTATGGGTTCAAACTTCAAACCTATTATTTATTTATTGCAATTTTAATACATTTTTACACATAAATTTATACTCCGCATTGTAAGTACTAGGTTCGAATGAACCTAGTTCTAGCATGCTGCATCCGCCTATCTTTGACCGAATTCAACCCAAAATTTAGCTCATCAGGTGACGATTGTTAAAATTCATATGAGCAGTCAACCAGGGTGGCCAATTGAACACCCTTCGTCGAAAAATTATGTCAAAAATTATTTTTCATATGGTGTATATATTAAATCTTGAACACCCTTACGAAATTTCTGACTTCGCCACTATGGGTCAACAACAGAACACCCCCCCCCCCCCCCACAAGTTCCCTTGGATACTTGGGTCTAACTCAGTACAAAATCTAGGTTAGGATTGTTCAAAATTATACGGTGATAACAAGTTAACAACATCAATCAATGAGTAAAAACTTGATAGTTAACACAATATAAGAATGTCAACATTAACTAGCTTGTAATTAAATAAAAATAAGAAAGTAATACAAATTAGAATACCTTAGGGCCTTCATCAGATCTGTGGCGTCCAGCAGACATTTTAACTCAGAATTTGAGACTCAAGATTGGAAAATTGTGAGTGAACAGAGTGATTCATCTTTACTGATTTATGTAATAAAAAAAGAAAGACTTGCTGCGTTTTTACAAGTCAAGATTCCATTAACTAAAGTTAGTACTATATTATTATATATAATATTCCTTCCATTTTAAATTGTTTGTCTTAATTTTTAGTATTTCTTTTCGGTCTGTCTAAAAAAGAATGTTTTTTTTTCAATAGTAACTTTTTCGTATGACATGTTTAATTAAGGTCAGAAAATTAAAGAATATTTTGATACATTTTATGTATCTTTAATTTAATATTACAATATTTAAAAAATTACTTATCTTTTTAATTTTTGTGCTAAATTGAAACAGGACGATCAAATTAAAACGGAGAGACAATTTTAGGGGAAATTGTATGAAATATGAAACTATTAATTCAAATTAAATACTATAGTCATAGTTTATTTTAATTGTAATTCGCAGCCAACATCTCCTTTTTTGCCATCTGATTCGATATACAATTAGTCATTTTCTGTATATAGTTAGTCATTTTATACATTTCAATATAAAATGTATAAAATGCGTTTGTGTTTGTATAAAGCGAGAGAAAAATGTATATACAAATACAAATGCATATCTTTTCGTCCTATACACTTATAATTATACAAATACAGATCTTATTATACAAAATTACAATGTATAAATAAATTTATCAAAACTGAACAATTTGTATAAAAATTGAATGTTTGTAGCGAATTATACAAATTAAAAACTCCATAGAAAACATAAAATTTACTATGGAGAGCAATTATACAAAATATAATTATAACATATAAATATAATTTTTTATGTTTGCTATATGTGAAAGTCACTCATTTTTTTTGGTTGTGTGTAGCCGGTATGGCCTCTTTGAACTTGGCGCTATTAATGACATTTTCATTTAACATTCTTTTTTAAGTACCTATTTAGATGTTATTTATAGCGATTTAATTGCACAATTTTGTCTTCAATCGAGTCGACTTGTCTTCAATTTTTTTTCAAATTTATGTTTAAAGGCGTAAGTTTTTTTTAAAGACGTGAAACGTAATACTCCATCCGTTTCTTTTTATATATCATTTTTTTCTATAAATAGTTGGACCAAAATATTTGTCATTTTATAAAATCAATGCATAAATTACCATATTCTTCCTATTATACCTTTGATACAGTAGTTAATTAGTTTTGAAAATATATACTTTGACCAACCTAGGAAGATTAATAAGTAATTAATATTCATTGGAGTACTTCATACATTGATTAATTACTCTCTCCATTCACTATTCTATAAAATCTTATTTTTGAAAATAAACTCAAAAATTTAAATAGCCATCCAAATGCATTTAAATTTTTGAAATCTAGCTTATTCATCATTTATTGAAAAGTTGACTTAAGAAAACATTAAATAAGGGTAGAATGGTAAAGTTACTTAATTTCTTAATGCAAGTACAATTTTAAAATGTGACTTATAAAAAGGAACGGAGGAAGTAATAAAGAGTAGTGGCCTAGTGGGGAGATTGTAATTATGTAGTGGATATTCTTATTAATATACTCCACATTGATAGTTAATGAGATGGATGTACTTTTTATAAGACTTGGATAATCCTATTCCCTTTGAATTAGACGCAAAACCAAATTTAGCATAGTAGTATCAGAGTAGGACCCATCTTACCCAATATTGAGCCCCAAAATTAAAATTGTTCACGCACCAGATGATAAACACTAAGAGGTCGTTTGGTAGAGTGTATTAGGAAAAATAACGCATGCATTAGCATTGTGTATTACTAGTACCTTGTTTTGGTACTCTTTTTCCAACCTATGTATAACTAATGCTTGCATTAGTTATACACTCTATTGTGTATTAAGTTGTGTATTGCTAATACCATGGATTTCTAGGTATTAGCAATGCAATGGTTTTAATGCATGCATTAGATTAACTAATGACAAAACTACCCTCTAAGCCTAATAATAATAATAATAATTATAATTATAATAATAATTATAATTATAATAATTATAATAATAATAATAATAATAATAAATAATTATTATTAATAAAAGAATGTGGGGGTATTTTTGTAAACAAATATTTTTTAATAGTCTTTATACAAGGCTTGCTATTTCCAATACATCAAACCAAACAATGTATAAGAAATAATGCAAGCATTACTAATGCTTGCATTACTAATGCATGCATTACTAATACATCATATTCAGCATTATTCTTATACACTCTACCAAACGACCGTGTTAAAGAATGACAAAAATTTCATATTGATAATTAATGAGATGGATAGACTCGTTGTAAGATTTGACAATTCTCCTCTTTTGAGCTACCTTTTAGTATGTGAATTAGACTTAAAACCTAATTTAACAAATACCTCCATGACCTTTGTCTAAACTTTCCTTCTCATTGTAATTTCTATTTGAGTTGTTGTGCAAACAAAAGAGAGAATAGAGGAAAAAAGGGAAAAATATTGTTAAAATTGAGTGTAGAGATAGGAACTACACACAACTCTTTTGCTACATTAGAGGACTGAACAAACATCCATATTAAATCTCAACCAGTATAAAATATCTATTGTCATTTACTTTCTAATTAAAGTTAATTTGGACATCCAAAAGAAAGTTTTTTTTTTTTTTACTCGCTATAGTTTTATTTTTTGCATTTTACTATTAAATTTAAACTAAAAATTATAGATTGAATTTGAAATATATATGTAGTTCACAAACAAGAGTTTGTAGAAAATAAATAAATAAATAGTTTCTAGTTTTCACAAACTAAACCATAGAATATGTAACTTCCTCAAATTTTATTACCCATCCACTTGTCTGGACTTAGATTTTCCCACCATTCCAACAAATTTCAAATTTTCAAACACCACAAAACCCCAATCACCACATTCCCTTATAAACAAACTCATTTTGCTTCATTTTTTTTCTTCATTTCTCATACAATTCCTAGAATTCATCATTCTCTCTCATTTCATTCTCGTCCTTCCTCCCTCGACGATACCCTTTATCTATAAAAATGCGTGAAATTCTCCATATACAAGGTGGCCAATGTGGCAACCAAATTGGGGCTAAGTTTTGGGAGGTGGTATGCGCTGAGCATGGAATTGATGCAACCGGAGCGTACCATGGGGAGACAGATACTCAACTTGAGAGAGTGAATGTATATTATAATGAGGCGAGTTGTGGGCGCTTCGTACCTCGTGCTGTTCTTATGGATTTAGAGCCTGGTACTATGGACAGTGTTAGATCTGGAACTTATGGTCAGATTTTTAGACCTGATAACTTTGTATTCGGTCAATCTGGTGCTGGTAATAATTGGGCTAAAGGTCATTATACTGAAGGTGCTGAGTTGATTGATTCGGTTCTCGATGTTGTTAGGAAAGAAGCTGAGAATTGTGATTGTCTACAAGGTATTTTGTTTAAATGTTGCTGCATATCTTTTGATTTGTTGAACTCGTGCTGATTGTTTTTTTTAATTGATTTGAGAAAGTGTAATTGTGATGCTGATACGGTGTTTGTCTAAATGTTTATGTGTATTTTTCATTTGTTAATTCGTGCTGGTTGTTTTTGATGTTGTAAGTTTATGATTTTATGCGTTTGAGAAGCTTAAAATTATTTTTGCCTACAATGTGTTTGTTTAAATATTTATGCGTTTTTTTTATTTGTTTACTCGTGCTGATTGTTTTTTTATATTGTTTGTAAAGAAGCTGAGAATTGTGATTGCCTAAAAGGTATTTGTTTAAATGTTTATGCATAATTTTGATTTGTTAGTTTGTGCTGATTGTTTTGATATTGAAAATTCTGTGAGTTTTTATCATTGAGAAGCTGAAATCACAAACATTTAAACATAAATTGTGATGCTGCCAAGGTGTTTGTTTGAATGCTTATGCATGTCATGATGTATTTTGTTAATTTGAGAAGCATAAAATCGTGATTGCTTACATTTATGTTTGATTGTGCCTACATGGTGCTGTTTAAATGCTTGTGCATACACTGATTTGTTTATCTTGTGGGATTACGTTTGATATGGTATGTTCAATAGGTTTACCTTTTCATATATGCTTATGATTTCATTTTGTTATGTGAACATAGTCATGTTATCACACTTCAGGTCTGGTATGTGTGTGTATTTAGAGAATTTATAGTTTTAGAGAATCTCGACTTGCTTTAAAAGATGAACATTGAATGAATCAATGGCTGGTACACAGTGGGTGGGTGCTATGTTGATTGAATCTATTCTTGAGGTTGTGCACAAGTAACCTGAGAATTGCTATTGCCTAAAGGTGTTCTCGAAATGTTTGTACATATAAAGATTTATAAACTTGTGGAGTTGGTTCAACTATCAGTCTATCACAAATTCTAATGTTTATTGATTTCATTTGCCTGTGACTTTATTTTTTTGGGTATATAGATAGTCATACATGCACCATTGTTGCTTATATGTGTGACTATATGCAGGGTTTCAGGTGTGTCATTCCCTGGGAGGAGGGACTGGGTCTGGAATGGGGACACTTCTCATTTCAAAGATTAGAGAGGAATACCCAGATAGGATGATGCTGACATTCTCTGTCTTTCCATCTCCAAAGGTTTCAGACACAGTTGTAGAGCCTTACAATGCTACATTGTCTGTTCATCAGCTTGTAGAGAATGCAGATGAGTGCATGGTTCTTGACAACGAGGCTTTATATGACATTTGTTTCCGAACCCTCAAACTTACAACTCCTAGCTGTAAGTATTCTCTATTCATATCAATGACATGACTCATTTACTTAAGCGTCTAGTTCAACATGCGACGACTTTGAGCCGTGGTGATGGAGTCTTCAATATGTTATTTGATGTTAGATAATTGAAACTAATATCCTGATTAGTGACAGTGGCCTCCCATTTTTGCAGCCATTTAATTTTTTCTTTTCACTTTCATTTTCTTAAAGCTTATCTTAATCAATCTTCATGAAATGTGGTTCACCAACTGTTTAGTTATTAAAACTCTCCCTCAATTTTCATTCATAGTCTAACTTTATATAGTGAATTTTTGCGTAGCTGACCATAACTCATTTGGGATTGAGGGTTGGTTGGTTGTGTTTGCTTAGCAACAATTAATATGAATATGCTTCATGCTGTGGGTCACTTATTCTGCAACTTCTGAGAAACTTATCCTTTTCCTGATGGTGCTTTTGTTTTCTAACAGTTGGTGATTTGAATCACTTAATTTCTGCAACCATGTCCGGAGTTACTTGTTGCCTCAGATTCCCTGGACAGCTTAACTCTGATCTACGGAAACTTGCTGTGAATCTCATTCCTTTCCCCCGTCTCCACTTTTTCATGGTTGGGTTTGCTCCACTTACCTCACGTGGTTCACAACAATACCGCGCTTTATCTGTTCCTGAGCTTACTCAACAAATGTGGGATGCAAAGAACATGATGTGTGCTGCTGACCCTAGGCATGGCCGCTATTTGACAGCATCAGCAATGTTTAGGGGGAAAATGAGCACCAAGGAAGTTGATGAGCAGATGCTTAATGTGCAGAACAAAAATTCTTCATACTTCGTTGAGTGGATTCCCAACAATGTCAAGTCAACAGTCTGTGACATTCCACCAACTGGTCTAAAGATGGCATCAACTTTCATTGGAAATTCAACCTCAATACAAGAGATGTTCCGTCGTGTCAGTGAGCAATTCACTGCCATGTTTAGGAGGAAGGCTTTCTTGCATTGGTACACAGGGGAAGGAATGGATGAGATGGAGTTCACTGAGGCAGAGAGCAACATGAATGATCTGGTCTCCGAGTACCAACAGTACCAAGATGCAGTAGCAGATGAGGATGAAGAATACGAGGACGAAGATGAAGCATATCATGACTAGTATGCTTATGCCGGGAAATCTTATCTTATATTTTAAGTAATAGTTCGTTTCAACTGTGCATGAACTTTAGTAGTGAAGAGAAAGCGACTAACCTGTATTTTTGTCAAACTTGTCACTATCCCTTAATTGCATATTGAATATTTGTTGCTTTTGCTAAGCAATCTGTGATTGAGTGATGATAAAGCATGCTGTAGTTGGCATATACTCATACTACTTATGTCCAGTAAAATGACTCTTTGCTTATTATTAAAGCAGTAAAAACCAATAATATTGGAAACAGATGCAATAACTTTCAAATTGTCTAATGCTCGCTTGAAGGATTGCTTGCCTAGGATCTCAACTCTCAAAACTTGGCTATTAAAATATTGATATCAAATTAAACATAAAAATTTGAGCACCTTGTTAAATAGAGAGAAGTATTGAAAATACCTCTAAAACTTTTTTTATTTTTTGGGCAAACTTTCAGTACAAACTCATGTGGGCCTATTACCCAAATCCAATAAACAAAATTAAACACAAGAAAGATCAACCCAGCCCTCTGCTTTCTTTCTATGTACACGTCCCTAAAAAGTAGGATTTCCACTAAGTTCCTTTCGACTCAATTCCTATTCATTTTACCTGATGCTGAACTGCTGCCTGCGATCTGCAGCTTCGCTTCATGCTTTCAAGAGTGAGTGATTCTTCAGTTTTAGTTTCCGCAGCCCCTTTGTTTCGTCTATTCTGATCTCCTTCTTTCTACATATCCTTCTCTTTTTTTCCCTGTTTCCTACTCTTAGCTCCATGATTTCTTTGTTGTAGGTGGTGATTGACTGTGGTGCTTGGAGAACTCCAGCCCACCTTCTCAGATTGGTGCTTAAGGCGTCTTCCAGGTTTATGCAACTCAACTTCTCCTTTTTGCCGAGTCCGTGTTTGTTGGCTGCGACGTCCTAGGCTATCCTGCTTTTCACACTTCTTGTTCCCCTCGAGGCTCTCTGTAAATATTGTATATGTGAAAGAACAATGCTTTAGCCTTCCCATCCCCTATCTCCTTTGTGGTGAAACTCCTAAGTATGGGCAATTTAGTTTATCACCGTTGATGATCTTTCTCCCTTTTATATCCCTGCTCCTGAATACAGTTTCCTTGGTCTATTGCTCTGTTCCCTAAATAGTCTGCTACCTGGTTTCCTTCTCTCATGATGTGCTCGAATTTGTGCTCTTTCCCACTTAGGTGAGCTTTTATTTCCTCAATTGTATCACTGATGCACCATGGTACATTCCACTCACCCATTAAAACTTTGTATAGTAACAGAGAATCTGTTTGAATGAGCGTGAATTATTTGTTTTTCCTTGAACTACTGTCACTTTTAAAAACATCCCTTATAACTTGACTAACTGAACTTAAATACAACCACATGCAACATGAGTAACATACACCATAAATTCTAGCTAAGTTTTGGAGTGTTTTAAGCACTTCTCTCAGCTTTAATATTCTCTCAGCTTTTTATTAAGAAATTTGTGCTTTTTCAAGAGTTTGAGACCACTTGCTATATCATGTGACAGATCTGGGTTGTATCTAGGTTTAGTTAGTCAAATAGAGCAGTGTTTTTAAGACTGTCAATAGTTCAAGGATGCTTATGCCTTCATGGAAACTTTAGAGCTTGTGTTCCCTTGTTGGATAAACACCATCTACGCGATGCTCATCTTTCTTCCTTAACCAAAGCTCTTAAGTTCGAATATAATAAATTCGGTAGATAGTGCTTTACTCCCAAATTGGAACTTCCGAACATATTGGATTATACGACTAGGTCCCAAAACAGGTATCGAACACCTGTGAAAATCAATTGAGTGCACATGTGTACAAGTTACAACTAGTCATGGCTTTGGTTTCTATGTCAAAATTAACAATTAATTACTGAGCAATCCCTACCCATGCATGGAGCTTGATTCTTCTAAGAAAAAAAAAATGAGATTCCAGATTTCAGTGAATAAATAAAGATATAAATAATAAAAGAAAGACACATGGCAATTTGAAATTTCCGCAAAATTGTCCACATTGAAACAATATAAAATAGCAAATCCAAATCACCATTCTGCAGGCTTTACTATATTATAACAAAAATAAGAACAAGAAAAAGGTCTCCATTCGGCAAAAAATTAGACTAATGTACAAAGGGTAAAATGGTAAACAAAATTTTGTATCACCTTATAACTAAACTAATATTTTTTTATTATACATCATATATCCTATTTTTTATCGTTCGTTAATAAAGTATATGCACTTATAAATGATAACTAATGGGTCCTTCGGGATGATTCAGTTGGGTTGGAGGATGGTTATCCACACGGATGACTCGGGATCGATCCATCCTCAATGCCTTCTCAATCGAGCATGTCGCACAGGGCTTGCCTAATGCGGTGTATATCCCCTATGTGGTTTGTAGACTATTACACAGTGGAGGTTTACCCAGTGCGCATAAATGCTCACCCAAAGGGCAGAGGTTATAGCAACTGCGAGTTATTCTAGGGTTCCAAAAAAAATAATAATAATACTAACGAATGGATTATTGTTAACCTAAACATTACAATTCATGCATTATAATTTCGATATAACTTTGTACGCCAACCAAACGAGCCCTTGTATGTATGTAATGATAACCTACAAAGAGTACACAAAATAATAGAAAGTAAATATCATTCAAAATACTAAATAAAACTTTAAAACCACAAGAACCCTTGACTCATTTACAAACCGAGTTATAATTAACAATCAGTCGACATTGCTTGTGCAAAATCCTACGTACGTCATTGGTAATATCAAAATTATGTAATTATTTTACTTATAATTTGAAAATTATTTAGTCTATCAATATAAGTAAGCTTAAATTTATAACAAAATTTTAAAATATATAGTTACCTTTTAGTGGTTAAGTGGCATTTCTTATTGGACTCATCCAAATTTTGCCTATATAAAGAACCCTTTTTCTTCCATATATCTCATAAACAAATTCTCTTCTTACTTTTCTAAGAAGAAGGGATATTTTTCTTGTTTACAAAATATGGAGCTCATTATTTTCCTTGTTTTTTCATTTGTCATTCATGGAGCTCTAGCTAATAATGGTATGTACTCTTCTTTTATATATGTAGTATTTAAACGTACGTAAATACTAGTTTAGGAAACTTATGAGTTTCTCCTTAGCGAAAGCAAATTTGTAGTAACATGATTTGTGTCACCGATCGTCAGGAATCCTCACAAGACAGATGAACTCCCTTTTTTCGATAGCCTAAAAAGATCCTCTATTATACAATCTTTATAGTATTGATAAAAGTAATTATATAGAGCTAAATTTGGTAACACCTCTATGTTTATCTAATTCAAGGAATAGGACCTTGAGATAAAATCCTTTGTGTGGAGTCATTTTTCCTCAAAAATTATTTTGTTGTAAAATATTTGTTCTAGTATATGTTTTATAGTCGTAGTTGATTGGTAAGTGAAAAGTATTTTTTGAAAAATAAATAAATTATTCCAAATTAAAAATGATATTAGCAATTCAGAGAGGGTTCTGATGAAATTTTTGTATACAACTAAAAATCATTTTGTTAGTGATGATCTTGATGTTAGTGCTGATATCGATCGTGATCTTGATACATTTTTCGTATCATTATTTGATAATACAGGAGAAATTGTGTGTGAAGATTTGTCAGTAGGACTGTGTGCCTACTCAGTTGCTTCGTCAGGGAAGCGCTGCTCTTTGGAGAGTTATGAATCAATTGAGGGAACAAGAGGATACCAATGCAAGACCTCAGAGGTGTTAGTGTCCAATATTGACATAACAAATTTGATTGAAAGTGATGAGTGCATTAGTGCTTGTGGAGCTGATAGAAACTCTCTTGGCATTTCTTCTGATTCACTTCTTGAATCAACATTCACTTCTAAGCTTTGTTCTCAACAATGCAACCAAAAGTGCCCCAACATTGTTGATCTTTACTACAATTTGGCTTTGGGAGAAGGTATTACATTTCATAACTTCAAATGTCATTAACTTTTATGTAGTGTCATTATAAAAGAATTTATACACTATCAGGTCAACTGAAAGATGATTTAGCGGGCCAAATATAAAAGGAGCCCTTATTACACAATCATGTCATTTATAAGTAGTAATTTTAACTTGATGAAATGATAACATTAATATGGATGATGTAAGAGTTTTTTTTACAGTGTCGGTGTGAATAAGTTAAATCGTCTATTTTTAGTAATTAAGCTATAGATTTCCTTTGTATATAGAGTAAAAAAGAATGTGTCAATAACTTTTCATATATTGTGGCAGGGGTGTATTTGCCATCATTTTGCAAGGGAAGAAATTTGAACGGACGCCGTGAAATGAGCCAAATCCAAAGTTCAGGTGTGGCGTGGGGACCGTCAGCTGCCTTGAGCGGATATGGTCGACAGTTGAGTGAAGGGCCTGCTGCAAGCGCTGCACTCGCATTCGAGGCTGATGCTCCGTGGTGATCATGAATCTTTTCCAATTGCACTAAAGAGTTCATATGTTGCTCTGTTTACACATTGCCCTTTTTGTTGTTTGCTTTTTTACTAAATAATCTATAGACGTTTGAGGATTACTTCAGTTGTCATTTCAATTCATTATATGAATTTTATTCTCATTTGATTCCATTTTCACACTTTCCCCTTTAGTCTTATCAATGAATGGATGTTACGTTATATATGCATGAAATGATGCGTATAACGTCATACTAGACCCAACGGTTGATGTAGTAGTAGTAAATAAGGATTGGCACGACAAATAGGTCAATCTACCTTCTTCTTGTTATATTAAAAGGTAAGAGGCTCTATATGAGACGAATGTACTACAAAGCAAGTCGAATAAACCATAAAATCATTGTCCTCCCAAGTCCCAGGGTATCTGCACGGAATTGGGACAAAATGTTTATGACTCTAGCTAAGTATTGTTGCATCTGGACTTCTCGTGCCACATATGTCCCTTGGATCTGATTGACAACTAGCCGAGAGTCACTTTCCAACTCGAGTCCTGTAACCACAGCCTCAAACTCGGTTTCATTGTTAGTTTGAGAAATTGTACTTAATTGATTTGTCGGATTATCTCTTTGGAAGGTGTAATGAGAATCAATCAGAGACCGGACGTAAGGATGTTGGATGATCTATCTGTGAAGAGGATCCGCACTCCTGAGACAGTCCGAAAGTAAGTATTGCTTCATTCTCAGCCTCCGGGAGTATACATGTACTGAAATCAACTACAAAATCAGCCAAGACTTGAGACCTGATAACACTTAACAGTACATGGTTGCATACGTGATGTCTGTACTCACATTTTTTTCCAGGGTAAGCGCTCAAGAACTTCCACACATGGTGCTTAAAATAACTTAAATAACGGAATATTATTCAGGCCAAGGACCTGAAGCTCGTGCCCTCCTCTCATAACTTCAGCATATACCTTAATCTTCATAGCGGATTCTTCAAGTTGAGGACTCTTTACATGTTTGATAATTTTCAATGAACCAATATCCCCAAAACTAGCGGATTCTCCTCAAGCTTATAACATTCCAACAGATCTAACTTTTCAAGAATGGGAAAGGATTCCTCTCCAACCTCCCACTTAGCAAGAGTCACTTCTTCCAACTTCAAAAATTTGAGATTCCCAATGGTGTCTTCATCTATCAATTGTGATTTTGAAATTAAATTGCATTTTAAACGATGCACAAAGAGAACATTTTCAAGCTTCAAGTTCTCGCTAAGTTTTATAGATCCCTCTTTTGTAGAAATTGTATGTTGTCCATCTGGAAGTCTCACAGGACATCCAACCACTTCACGCAAGTCCGTCATGCACCTCAAGTTTGCAGTCATATGGTTTGATGCC